TCATTATTTAAACCCTTTTTCGGACCGCTCCTGACTACTGACCTACTAGACCGTACTGTTCAGTCACTAACCTAACTTTAAATATTGTTAACGTTTTCACTGTTCAATATGAGTTTTTAGTAATACATAATTATGTTCAAGTAATTATTCAGTTTGTAGTACGTATACGTTATTGTGTGACTTATAACTTTTCAGAGTTGTATGGTACCTACTTATTTAAAATGGTAAATGCGGCTAAAAAATACTCATCTCATTCATTCGTCCGTAAAGTCTTAATAAAGTTGTGATCCGTTGCACTTTGATTTTGAGAGCAATTGCAAAATTGGGCAAGACGACGACTAGGAAATCAGCTGTTTCGTTACAATGTACGAATAATTTAGATATTTTTTAAAATTAAAATTAATGACATTATACTGATCATACTGTATATCTAAGCGTCCTAGATGAGGGATAAACCTATAATTAAAAAAAAAGATCGTTAAAATCAGACTAGTCTGAGAGAGAATTATTAACGAAGAGTATTTTACTGTCCTGAAGAAGTCAGTAAACTTGACGAAACACACACACTACAATTAAATTTCTGTTTTTACGCCGAACGGCACGAATTTTCATCCATTTAACCTATACTACCATACGACACACCTGACTGAGAGTACATTTCAAAATTTTAGTATTAACTTAATTTCTGCTTGACTGAAGTTTGGTGAGGGAGAATGAGGGATAGGAAATTCAAGTCAATATCGCCGTATTATATATATATTAACCTTTTGATCTTGCCGGTGGCAGTTTTTTTATAACTGAATGTTTCAAAATGTAATAAAGTGTGGCACTGCGCTTTTGAAACGCTGAAGTGAACGTTGAACGCTGAACACCGTTTAATTTGAGAATTTTTTAAATTGAGGAGTAGAGGACCGCCTTAACCTTGCAGGATTCGTGAGGAATAATTAAATACGCGATGAATATTCCTGTACCTTTGGTTAGGGTGGCTAATATAATGTAAAAATCTAGAGGATTCATATCCGGTCGCCGAGCAGGCCAACTACGTGGTATGTTTCCTTCAGTCTAACATTTCCTAAATATATTATCTAAGTATTAAATAACACCTGAAAAGTATGTACAGGGAGCTCAATCATATAAGTACCACATACCTTGTTGCAATTTTAGTTGCAAAATTAATTATGTCGTGTGCGTGACTACTTTTGCAACATACTATTATATGTTTGGAAAGAGCATGAAAAGACTTTTAATTAAAAAAAAACCGTTAAGATTCGTCAATAAACCACGGAGTTGTAGACCACCAAAGTTGAACATTTGCATAAATAATGGTTTTTGGTCCATAACTTGTGATGTAATTAATATTTTTTGACATGTGACATCTAGTTTTGTAAGTTTTTTAAAGAGTGAAAAAAAAAGAAATTTACCATTTTTCTGTACGACCAAAAGGAGCAAAGATACAAGCAAACAACGCGATTTTTCATTAAAATTACAGTTTTTTTGTCAATAACTAATACTGCGCAGTGGTTTGACACTACGGGTACAGTATATCTTCATGTATACCCTTTGAATTACTTATAAAACAAAACACAGTCAGATCAAAGCATAAAACGCGAAATGGCCTTTTTCGAAGTAATTTTCCTGGCCTATATTGAGTAAAAAATCATCTAAAATTAACTACCTTATGATCGTACAGTGAACGGAAGGTGAGTTTTAGAAACCTGAATCAATCCTCTTCAAAGGCCATATGGTATCCTTGAGAATTTTTTTATACTCGCATTAATTGTGCAAAAAAATACTTTTTCTACAAAACTGATAAAAGTGGGCTTTTTAATTGTCATTTTTGATGTTAAAAATGTCATTTTTTGACACGCGTGTTAAAAGTAAGTTACTTTTAACACTAGTGTTAAAAGTACTGGTTGCTACGAAAATTTTGGTTCATAAACACTGCGATCTGTGTGGTATTTTTTGATTTCTTATTTTTATTGAGTTTAAAGTTCTTCCGATTGTTTTGTAGAAAAAATAGTGTATGATATACGTGTAAAAAGTGATTTCATTTTATTCGTGAAGTTAAAAAACTCGCTACGCTCGTTTTTTAATCATCTTCACTCACAAAATAAAATGCCACTTTTAATACTTGTATCATAAATAACTATTTTCTGCTGTTTTGGAGTCACTACTTTATAAATATTGTGAAAAGTACTAATGTTTGTAGGTTTTCTTTTAGCTCAATACATGCTCACAAGGCCTGCAAAGAACCGTTTTCCTTTCCTGAATCGTCAGTTTTATAAAAAATTAAAGGAGCAGGTTTATTGCTCCTTAAACATCAATTACGGATTAAGACGAAGAAAAAATTTTTGCGTTATTTTTCTCGAAATTTCACATTAAATACTCATCAAATATCGAAAAAAGTAAATATTTTAAAAAAAATCAAATTTTTCAAATTTATTTTTTAAATTTCAAAATTTTTTTTTCTCGACATTTGATATATTCAATGTAAAATTGTAAAAAAAGATAACGCAAAACAATTTTTAAAAATTAGATTTTTTTTCAAAATTAAACTATTTTGCAGAGTATATTTGAACAGAAACTTATTTTATTAAGTACAAGATTCTTTGTAATTAAAGTGTCAGCATTTTCGAGTTCCATATTTACGCTTTGCAGTAATGGGCTAAATACCAATATGCGAAAGCATTAGAAGGGTGATATTACTGTCACTTCGTGAAAATTGCTTTTATTACACGTATTAAAATCGCCAGGGGGGAGCTTTTCCATCAAACTGAATCACTTTTCTGCTTTGACACCCTGAGTTCAATTTACCACTTGCTCGGATCAAGGTCAGATATGTTTTTCATCCTGTGCGTAAGTTGAAATCAATATTGATATTGACTACTAAAGAACTAATGAAACCAATACTCCCACTACACAAAAATTAATCACGAAATAAATTCGTAATGCCTACATACATATTGAAATGGGAATATTTTACCACAATGAACATATCTTAGTAGTATAGTATATTAGGCGAGCGGTGCACCACAAAAAAGATTACATTCTACGTAAGCAATAGATGGTAAGTGCCTGAAATTCATTCTCTGAACATACAATATTTTTAAGTTCCCACCTATTAATTAAAGTATAATGATAATTATAAACTCCCTTTCGAGAATTAAATAGTAAACTCTTGTGAAATCCAGACTCGATAACGATAGATAGATACATAAAGAAATAACCCCTCAGGTTACAAATCGCTCGTACAACAATGCTTTTTTCGAAAAAATCACAAGAGTTATAAATTGCTTATTTTTGCCCAAAATATGTTTTAAGTTTTCGCAATTTTGCAAGTTTTTTGTTAATAACAAATTACTGACCATCGATAGAGAAAAATATCATTAAGGTTTTTTGTTCGCAACAACGTAATATAGCGAATAGAAAAGGTTTCATCCTGGCCCTCCTCCGTGGTTTGTCCACTCGTTTCTTTGTGCGTCTTTTTAGGGGTGCACCGCTCGCCTATATGGTATATAATTTTTACGCGCTTTACAGGGTATTTACTTAAAAAAATAATAAAATTGAGAACATGATAAAATTCTTTGTTTTTTTAACGTCTACGAAGGTTCGTTAAAAAAAATATATTACATTCCCCTAATTTAAATTAAAACAAAATTTTAATTCCTCCCTAGAGGCTATTTGTAACAAAAAATAAGACCCTAAATTACATTAGGGTAATAAATCTCATAAAAATATTACCGCCAAAGTTTTACCAGCGATAATGTATAACATAATTTCCAACTTTTCCTCCTTAATTCCATTTGAGTGGGCTTTCCAAGTTCTCGGAATCTCTGACAGGCGATAATCAGTCGATTTCCGGGTCGTAACACTTTTTTACACAAAAAAAAAAACAAATAACTTTATAAAGCTGTTACATTTTAAAATGGCATCATTTTTCATATCGCCAAGAAATACTGAAAGACATTTGCAAAAATTTATTATAAATGAGTTTTTTAATTTCATACATACGTTACTCAAGTGTGGCTTATGTATTTTTTCAAAATCTCATAGAAAAATACACAATGGTAATGTAAGGGAAAGAGACATAAAATGACTTAATTTTTTTAAATTTTTCTTTCCTCAGATTTTGAAACGAACTGAACCAAAGTGAGTACCAGCAGCGCCCTGTACTACTATATGATATCGAAACATTAATACAGGCCGACAATTTTTTTTTCTTTTTAGATCAGACCTATCATCTCTCTCTTATAGATTTTAATGTGCTGAAACCAAATTTGAAGAGTAAAAAAATTTTTATGGTTTAAATTTATAATAATTGTAGGGGCCTGGTCTGTTCTACATACAGGGTGTAGCGTCTAATCCGTAAGTGTTCGAAACCTGCAGTTTTCACCGTTCATTTTGGCATAAATTACTCTATCTTGTCATCTGTGAGCAAAACGTGTATATGTTATTCAGACTCGGAAATACTGAGACGTACATTTAATAATCTTACGAGTTGAAAAAAAGGGCAACAACTCTCAAGCATGTAGTATTTTTTTAAGAATAGCCTAACCTGACTCAATTAATGCCAATCAAGGTTTGTGAATGACTATAGAAATGATGAAAACTTGGTAGAACCCTTCCAAAAGTTTCAATGTCATTGTATTTTTGCCTTTTTTCGCCCTCTTTTGCCCCAAAAAGGGCTTTCCGCCAAGTTTGTACATTAGATTCGTACTCGGCATTCAAAAATATATAGAAAATCAGTCACCTAGATTAAAATCGGGATACCAAAGATAGTATTTTGATAACTGCATATTCAATATTGTCAATGCGATTACAAAGAATCTAAACTATGATTTTTTTTTACTCTTCTTTGGTTTTAGCACATCAAAATTTATAAAAAATAATAGGTCTGACCTAAAACCTCAAAAAAATTTTTTTGTTGGCCTGTGTAATCATCCCAACGATATAGGTATGCGAACAATTATTTTTTTTAGTAATTTACCAACTTTTTTCAGAATTTATTGAGTTCGACGGCCGCCCCATTGCCAGAGTACAAGACTGCATCGGTCAAGAAGAGTAGGTTCATCATATCACATTACGGCATGTTCAAAAGTGCCTGGGACTGGCTTATACTAATAGCTACGTTTTATGTAGCAGTGGTTGTGCCGTATAATGCTAGTTTCGAAACCGAGAGACCTTCTGTGGTGTTAGATGTGTTTGTTGAAGCGTTATTTTTTATAGGTAAGTACCTAGCTGCCCGTCACATATCGCATAAGCAAGTTCTAGTGCGGTATTTTTGTTATATCCAATTATAATATTTTGTCATTTTAAGTCGGCAGTTTTAACTAATATGGAGAAGTAATACTTGGAGAAAATCGTTTATTTTCAATCTCAGATATTAATTAAAGAAGCACAGTAATTTCTATGCCTGTTTCAAAAACTTGTTTAAACTTTGAAACAATATAGATGCTAAATGAGCGGAACAATAAAAAAATAAAAATATTCTGAAATTGTTTTTAATTACTTACCATGAAGAAACTTCTCAGGAGATAAAAGTAAAAGATAATAATATGAAGTTATGACTTATAATCAGAAAATAGAATTGTTTCTACGATCATTGGTCCACCTATGTTTCCGATTGTAGATCCTAATGGCTTTTAGGTTATATAAAACCAACTCAAACTGATCATTTAATTTCAAGGCATTCCAATCATCCTTTTCAACATAAAATAACAGCCATTCGCTGCTACGTTCATAGATTGTTAAATATACCAATGTCAAATTTAAATTTCAATAAGGAAGTGCAGATATTGCAACAATTATGTATTAATAATGATTTTTCTCCTGATATTGTACAGAGAACTGTTAATAGAATTTTGTTTCAGAAAAATAGAAATTTAGCTTTTCGTTCACAAAATGTTAACATTGATAATAATTACAATTTTAGATCTTCATCTTATTTAGGTAGTATTTCGGATAATATTTCAAAAATTTTAACTAAAAGTATTCCTAATCTCAAAATTTCCTTTAAAGTAAATAAGTCAATTCGTTAAAAATTTTCTAAAGTTAAAGATTCACAGGATAAATTGTCAAATAGCGGTATATATTTGTTATCTTGTAATGATTGTCATGTCACCTATGTTGGTAGAACCATTAGATCATTAAATATTCGTGTTAATGAACATTTAAAAAGACCTGAAAAGTCAGCTTTTGGACATCATATTAATTTTACTAACCATTCATTTTCACCTTTAATCAATAGCAAAATTCTTCATAATATTCATAATAATTTTGATTTTCATAAAATTAATTTATTGGAAGACTTAGAAATTCTAAGAGAAATTAAAAGGAACCCTAATAACTGTGTTAATACTCAAGTCAATTTAAATTGTAATTTTAAACCTTTATTGAAGTATCTTTGGGAATCTCATTAATTCACAGCTGATAGTTTGTTATTAGTATATTGGTAGTTTAACTTTAAAAATTTTTGTTTTCACTTAGTTGGTAATCCTTAGAATTGTAGAATGTCAATTTCCAATTTCATTTAACATTTAACCTCACTTTATTTCACTCCACGTGTTCGACATTGTTAGTCAATTTCTGTTTCTTTCTCTTGTTATTTACCTGTAATTGATGTTATATTTAATGTTGTATTTTGTTATGTCGAACTTATTAAGATTTTCAACGTTTCCTAAATTTTTTTTTGGTATCTAAAATTTAACGTAAGTAAAAAAAAAAATTTGTTTGCCTTATATAATGTCATTTCAACCTCTTGTTGATATTTTAGGAATAGCTCCGATGATGACTATGTAGTCGAAAGCGCTCAGCTAAGATTTTAATAAAAATTTTATACACACTTTAACATACAAATTTCTTTGGTTTTTCTTTAAATCACCGAAGTGTGTACTCAAGATACAGTCGTTATTATTTTTTAGGTTATATTTTTTAAAAATTATCTTTTGTATTTGTCCATAGATTTGGACTATTTCTGCTACTATAACGCGCATTGCCGCTTACTAGCATAATATAGATTACTAGATGTTTTAATCACTTGTTTGCAGTTTTTAATAAACTCTAGTTGTACATTTATACTTTTTACGCACTGAACTGGGATAAATAAATATTAAAACTCCAATAATTCTTCCGTAATCGCTCTCTTTATTTTTACTTTTCATTAAAAGTAGTCTCAATATTAAACGTCGTGAGGGAAACTCCTTGAAAAAACAATGAAAAAATTTCAAATAACAATTTGAATTGGAAATTTCGCCATTCTCAGAAGAAAATCGCTAACCGATCGCTGGCATCGTTTGGGATGAATTAAACATGTATTCGGATTTGACCACGTGTAAAGAAGGAAAAATTGGAACCCCTATAACCTACCATAATAAACAGAATATTTTGGATTGGTAATGAAAATCTGTTTTTTGCCACATACTCGTTATTGATTATCTCTATCAATATTGTAAATTTCAAATTACTTATTTTATTTAAAAAAATAGGTTACATTAGACTTACAGCTCATTGATGAAAATTTTATGGAAATGTTTATATAAACTCTACAAATATAATGTAATTTTACCGATTTACATGAAAATATCAATAATTTGTTTTCTTTTTTTATTACCCTGTAGAATTTTCATTGTAATTTTACCTCTAATTATTCACATAACTGTACAATAAAATTGCATCGTTTTGGGTAATTATTTGATAAATTTTCCAGAGTACTTAATCTAATTTAAGGTAGAATGTAATTTTACAAGATACTTTTACAGACATTTTACAATACATTATAAAATCACATTTTAGTTGGAATTCCACAGTGTTTCTTACTATAAACAATTGATTTTGCGATAATTTAATTCTATTTTCTCTGTAAACACACAACTGTAATTTTATAATAAAAATTGATACCGTCTTGGTACTTTAAAAAATTTACGGAAGTCTACTTCAAATATAAAATTTTATCAAGTTAGAATGTAATTGTACATAATACTTTTACAGATATTTTACAATTTAGTTTGAAATTCCACCACAGATAATACTGAAGATTAAATCGATTTTAGGATAATTTAACACTGTAGAACTTTCATTGTAATTTTACCTCAAATTATACACAGGACTGTAATTTTACAATAAAAATAAAAATACATCGTTTTCCATACTTGTTTAAAAATATACTAAAGTCCTAACCTACTTCAAATATGAAATTTCTTTTAAGTTAGAATGTAATTTTACAGAATACTAGAGACACTTTACAATATAAATTTACATTTTTATGGAAATCCAGAACAGATAATGCTGGCGATAAATAAATAATTTCTTAATAATTTAAGACTATTATAACGGTAGTACCTACTTTCATTTGATAATTTTTTGATAAATTTGCAATAGACCTTATGTAATTTTACAGAATAATTTCTTGTGTACTTTACAATATGAAAATTTTATCCGCAATTGAACAACGCATATTGTTGGTGACAAGTAATTAATTTTCAGATAATTTAACACTACTGTCACTGTAGTACCTTCATTATAATTATACTTCGAATTATACACACAATTGTAATTTTACAATTAAATTACAATTACACTTTACAGTTACAATTTACAATTAAATTACATCGCATTCTTATGAAATACATTTACAAACACTTTGCAGGTAATGTAAATTTACATTTTTGTTGAAATTTTGGTGTAATTTTACTGTAGTATACAAAGATTTCATATATTAAATGGAAAATGGCAATAATACTCCTATATTACGAGAATGATTTTTTAAATATGTTAATATTGTTCATATTCCTCAGTCAGTTAACTAATTTTAAATACATCACGCTTTTTAGAGGGCCCCTGTCGCGTATTGTTTATGAAACATTAATCTTAACCAGCCCCTTTTTAATATCAACGTCATTTTTCTTCCCTCCTAACGGCTTCTTCCCATAAATTCATATAAAAAATTGTAACTGAAGCCAAAGAATTTACGACAAAATAACGGTTCCATCTTTAGATCGTTGTCATTTTATTACTTTCTCATAATGTGTCTAGTGTTTGGCCCAAATGAAACAAGCCTCCCGGTATTGATCCAAGGTTATATTAAATTTAATACAAATTCCTGCAGGAATTCCTCCTGAGGTACCACCACAAGCAGTGACTTCTAAATTATTCTTCAATGATCGATCCTCGGCCGTAAAAGAACCGTAATATATTTTTTACAGCCCTATAAGTTTAGAAACGGCAAGAAGTTTACCTTAAAATTGCGTTCATAAGTTTTATTTGCGTATGTCTCTTGTTATGTTTTCGATTTTGCCTTTATTTGTTGTTTCACTTGAAAAAAATGGACCTTGGCGTTAGTTAAAAATATATATTTTTTTAATATCTATTAATTTACCACAATAATATGAAGAAACATTTTTGGAACCGCTGACTATATCAGTTTGTTACCACTGTGTTTTCTCAAAAAGAAAATAGAATTAAAAGTAAGACTAGAAAAATAAACAACTTCAAAATTTGCTTGAAAATTAAACAATAAAAGACGCATGTTTCTGTAAAACTAAAGTAGAACTAATGATAACCTAAAAAAATCCATTAGCAATTTTTGTTTACTACAAAAAAAGGAACAAAAAGCGTACTATCTACGGCCACAAATATTCACCTATATAACAGAAGTTCTCAATAGGTTTTATCTATGATGATTATTATTAATTTTAAGTCCCACTTTGCAGTTTTAACGGTCCTGATTATTGAAAAATTATTAACGCATTATTTATTAAGTATAACTCTAGTCATATGTATACTACGGAATGCAAAAAAGATTCATCTACATTTTTCTACGGTCTCAGAATTTTGTCTACGTTCACTGTGTGGCAATAACACTAGCTGTATTCCACTAAAAATAAATCTCTAAGATCTTAAATACTCACTTCATCCAGGGTGAATCACAACTTATCCAAAAAAAATTGGGTCATGAAAAATGGAAAAATATCTTGAAGAAAATTTTTGTAAAATCCTTACAGTTTCCGAGAAAAACATTGAAGTTGTAGTATTTACAACCCTTACATCACTGGGCCACTATAGTCTCTAGCGTTATTCGCGGTGAGCGCTGTACGCAATGCGCGCTCTCTCTCTCTTTCTCTCTCTGTCCACGTGGCTCCAGGCGATTCCGAATATTGAAATCAGATTTTATTATTAACGTCTCTGCGATAGTGTTTCCATTAGTTTTTCACGTGTCATAAATGGCTTAC